AGAAAAGGTATAGAGTCCAGAAACTACTGTATATATCTGAAAATTGATCAATCCTGCTGTTCTGATGACTTATCTCATTTCTTGATGCCCAAAAATGTCAGGATGGTACAGATATCCCCCAAATGACCCCTTTTTGGAAATTAGACAGTCTGAGGTATTTAGTAAAAGGAATGGCAAGTTTTTTTAAGTTGTTATTGTTTGCCATAATTTTGTGGAATATGAAGAAATAAAAAAAAAAAATCAATTTTTTTTACATAATGTCACCAGTGCAATACAGAATCATCATATAACTGGTGTGGTATTGATCAGGGACACTGACTGGTGACAGTATGAAAAGAAATAATAATAATAATTTTTTTTATTAATAAATTATTTTCATTTTTGTAATGACTTTTTTTTATAACACACTGTGACCAGAGCAATCTAATGTTACCATAATAACATTATACTACTCTGGGGAAGTGATCAGTATTTTTTTTTTTACACATTATGATTGGTTATAGCAATGAAGTGCATTGCTATAAACAAGCATTTTACTGAATGAAATTCATTAAGTTTGTTTTGTTTTGATTAGCTGTAATTGGCCACAGCTAGTCATATGACACAGATGGGCTGTGATTGGCCCAGTCAGTACCAAGTGATCACTGTGGCCAATCACAGCTACCAACACAATTGTATACAATGGATGTCTTCTTTTCATGCCATCCATTGTATACAATTGTTTAGTCACAGTGGTCACATGGTACTAGCAATAGCCCAGTCCAGCCGTCATTTTACTATAGGCTGGGCAGGAAAGGGTTAATGTATAGTGTATATTGTGTACCTTTGCTGGCTTTAAAAGGTCCCTCCAACAAGGCCCAATCATTGGTACCGTGCCTGTGGTGCCATTAGGTAGAAATTCTGGTGACTTGTAAGGAAATAATATGAATTAATAGTCTTGCTGAACCACTTTAGTACTAGCTACTGTTTACCACTTATGAACCAAACCAATAACCAGTTCAGTTATATGGCTATTGATTTCCTAATAATTTTGTCTTACTAATGAAACTGATAGGCTACAGCTAAATGATTTAATATATAACTACAGAGATATTTAATCACACTGCTAGAAGATACTAAAATTGCTAACTATTAATAATTAGGAATAGTTGTTACTGCTGACATGCTGCGTAATTTACACCATAGGGAGCCATTTGTTCTATCTGATTAGTGATAATTGTTACAATAAGGTTGACTTTAACAACCATCAACAAGGGAAGCAGGAGCTGTTGTAAGGGGTTTCTGAAGTTTAAATTGACAGCTGGTCCTGGTGGGAGCATACAGATGAAGCCCACATGTACTGTATACTAGGTGTTTAGCCATGCATGAGGCTTTAGATTTTGGGTGCAGGTGGAAGGCACAGGTGCCCCTTACAATTTAGTCTTAACTGAAGTCTTCAGGGATGTATATTTACCCTGTTGTTATTATTATTTGCATTACATGACAACTATTTATTTAAATTACATCACCCAGGAGAACCCACCCCTTTATTTATATAAGCTATCCTCTACTGGAACTGTAAAACGAGCAGGCAGTCATCAAGGTATGATTGTGTTGATAGATCTCAGGTAGATGTTTTTTCTTTTTGGTAGGTCAGCAGGTATTGGGTTTCATAATTTATGCAGATCTACATTGCTGGAAGATGTGTTTGATGATGAATGTATAGCATGAAACTTTTTTTTAATTATTAAAGGACTTGTCAAAAATGATCAAACCTGTCCTGTGATATTGTATTATTATGCTTCTTATAAATCAATAGGTTGATATAGAGATTCTATGGAGTCTAATATAGGTAAGTATTTGCAGTGCCAAAGTACAACCCCAAAATCAAAATATCCAGTGAGTTAAACAATACATATAAATCATGAAATCTAATAGAAAACATTTTTTTTAATTATAAATACAACTGTCAAACAATTAATCACAAATAAAGTGCATCAAACTAAATAGTGCAATCAAAGAAATAAATCAGTCAAGTGTCAAATGGTCTCTGTAGATAAAGTTCACCAAACTGTGCAAAAGGATAGCTCAGTCCTCCTCCTCTCCAAAAGAGAAAGAAAAAGAGAGAGAGAGAACAAGAGAAAGAGAGAAAGAGACAGAGAAAGAGAAAAAGAGAAAGCAAAAAAGAAAGAAAAAGAAGAAAAGCAAAAGTTGTACTATGGATGAGCCTGTTTTACACTACATTATTTTAGCCCTTAATAAATTAGTCCCTGCTGCATTTAGAGGTGCTTTCCTCTTCTTTTCTTGCTGTATTGTATCTGAATCTGCTCTTGAAGAGTTTGCCCAAGTGATCGGATTACATTTTACTCTAGGGACTTTATTTTGGACTTTTTAATATGAGAGGTCACTACCCCTGGCACACTCATTTGTCCACATTTTGCATTAAATCTTCCAGTGTATGTGCATAGACTGCCACATATTAAAAAATGGACACTCACCAAACAACAAGCTACAATGAATGTAGCCAGTATAGCACAATTAGGTATTTGGAAATGTTAAACTCTTTACTCCTATCCAGCACTACTTCCACAGAGGGTTCTTATCCTCAAGAATGGATGTCGCTCCAAGCTGTATTGAATATAGCTCACCCAAGGTACAAACCAAGACCAATCATAGTGCAGAATGGTTTATTAATCATTAAAAGCCATTCAACATAAAACAGCCATAACATCAATGTACCATAAAGTAACTTCACAATGTACAGCAGCACACTTACATCAAAAACTGCTGCAGGCCAGGTGTAAGCAGCGGCGTGATATAAGCATGTAAGCTCTAAGGCAGAGGCACTGCTTACTCCAGTTTGTAGCAGCTTTAGATGAAAGTGTGCAGGTGTACTCAGGTGTACATTGTGTATACTTAGTTTTCATTATTTATTTTTATTGTTTGGTTCAATGGATAATTTATTTTTGGGGGTTTACTTTGGTGTTGCAAATACCTATATTTGTAAAAAAATAAAAATAATTTTTCAATATTATATCAGTCCCTGCCCTCAAGGAGCTTACAATTGAAGATCCCTATCCTACATACATGAATACATGCCTACACACACAAGGACCTTTTTAGACAGAAGTCAATTAATCTGTCTCTAGAGTGTGGGAAACCAAAGTACCAGGAGGAAACCCATGCAAGCACAGAGAGAGCATAAAAACTCCACGCAGAAAGTGTTCTAGTCGGGATTCAATCTGAGGACACCAGTGCTGCAAGGCAGAAATATTAAGTACTAACCCCTCTCACCACTGTAAGGGTTTAAAGACAGAACAAACAGTTGAATCAACAAATGATTCAGGCCCCTCTATGAATCCACGACTGACTTAGTGAATCTTCTTCGTAAAAAGAAGTAGCCTAAACTATTCTTATTAGAGGTTCAAATGTCTTTTTTTAATCAGCTATTAAAATAGACTAAACATAGACCTTTATAAAAATGAAGTGGGCACCAGCAAAAAAATAACAACAAGCTAAACATTAAATGGTTGCCTCAACCATGACTATAGCTTTGGCCTATGGTGCCCCCCTTTGCATAGTCACATTGAAAAAAGACAGAAGTACATCTAGTTCAAACAATAAATACTGAATTTGGGTTTTTGACCCCTGCCCAAGTCAAGATTAAGACCAACATAATCCTGGTGCTTATTCTCACCGCCTGTGTCAGTTTTCAAACAAAGAGCCTCTACTGACCATTAAAGTTATGGCATTTGAGAGCTGAAAGGTAAGAAATCAAGGCTGAAGTATAGCCTGAGTTTAGGATCAATAATGGCACCACAGAGGTACCAGGGATCAATTTGAAACCTAACCTATGTACTTTGGGCACCACAATGTGCCTAAAAAGCAGTCCTGTTGTTAACTTAGAAACCTTTAGGCCACATGAAGTTCACTTTATTCCCTACCTTGCCTACAATTGATCTAGATCACATTTTGAGAAGAATATTATGCTGTGCATGGTATATTTCCAAGCTTTATGTCTTTAAGGAGTTTAATTTTCTTTTTGGCAGGGAAAAAACAAAAGACCGTATACAGTATACATAGTTTTTTTTCCCACTTTGAATTAGGAATGTTAAAACAGTAGTTTGACTAAACTGGTTGCACTAAACTCTGCACTGTTTGAGTTAAAATATTGTTAAATTAAATACAAACAGATTAAGTACTAAAGGAGCCAAGCACTCTCACCTGTCACAGTCTGTGTGCCATCAGCAAGCTTGGCAACACCATTCAAGTTACTTTAAAGTAGGAATATTTGTGACAGCTGGCTGCTGTAAGAAAGGCAATGCTGTTGCATAGAATGGTAATGGTGATGAGGACTGATAGCAGACCCCTTCTATTTAACCACAAGCCTACAGGGCACTTATACCCCCTTCCTGCCCAGGCCAATTTCCAGCTTTCAGTGCTGTTGCACTTTGAATGACAATTGAGCGGTCATGCAACACTGTACCCATATGAAATTTTTATCAGTTTTTTTGTGACAGATAGAGCTTTATTTTGGTGGTATTTAATCACCTCTGGGTTTTTTCTTTTTTCTTAAACAAACCAAAAACCACTGAAAATTTTGAAAAAAAAAAAAAGTTTTACCTTAGTTTTTGTTATAAAATTTTGTAAATAAGTGATTTTTCTCCTTCACTGATGTGTGCTAATGAGGCTGCAGTGATGGGCACTGATAGGCTGCACTGATGGACACTGATAGGTGGCACTGATGGGCACCGATGAGGAGGCACTGGTAGGTGGCACTGATGGGCATTGACAGGCATCACTGATGGGCACTGAAAGGCAGCACTGATATATGGCACTGATATATGGCACTGATAGGCAGCACTGACTGGCACTGATAGGCGGAACTGACTGGCACTGTTAGGTGGCACTGACTGGCACTTTTAGTCGGCACTGGCTGGCACTGATAGGCGGCACTGATGTGCACTGATATGTGGCACTGATGCGCACTGATAGACTGATAGGCAGTACTGACTGGCACTGATAGGCGGCACTGACTGGCACTGATAGGCGGCACTAATTGGCAGCACTGATAGGTGGCACTGATTGGCATTGATAGGTGGCACTGACTGGCAATGATGGGTGACACTGAAAGGCAGCTCAGATGGGCACTGATATGTGGCATTGATATGCACTGGTGGCAGATGTGGCACTGATGATGACAGCTGGCACTGATGGGCATTGATGTGGCACTGATGAGCACACTGACAGCTGGCACTGATGGTGTACATGACAGCGTGGCAATTACTGCTGGGGTGAGTGTGACAGCTGCCGATAACATTTCCCTGTTTACATGATCAGCTGTGACACTGATCATCAGCCGACATGCTCTTTCCATGATGTGATCAGTGTCTGGGAGCCGCACATCTGATGGGAGGACATAAACGTGCCTCCCAACCGAAAGAAACCTAACGTCCATCAAAACTATATATGGTTAATACAACACATAAGGGAAGAAAAAAAATGTTTACTTTGAAGAAGAACAGCTATAAGTAAATGCCAACCTGAAATAAGTCAAAAATAATATAATACTAAGAAGAAGAAGAAGAAGAAGAAAGCAAATTGGTTGATTGTCCAAAGTGTTAGAAATCAGAATTAAAGAGCTCCTTCCCAACTGACTACTTATGTGGTTTGACAGCATTCCATATCCCTTCCCTTTTTTTTTTATCTTATTTTTTTTGTGGTTGATTCAAGGTCACCCATAATTTTAGCGTGCTGCCTTAGTAAACTTTTTCTATTGTTTAGGAGTGCACTATTTTGAGTTCTATTTTTTTTTTTTTATATTCTGCTGTCAGGGTCTTTATTTTATGGATAAACTGCTTTCCTTTCACTTGAAAAAAAATAGATTTTATTTTAGGGATCCAGTATTTTGAGATTTTCATATATTTGAAGAAAATATTGCTATATATTTTATGTTTGTAGCACATTTATTTTAGGTTAAGCCTATTTTTTCTGCTGGGCTTCTTTTTAAAAAGGGAATTCAGGTGTGCTTTATTTTTCTTTTGGAAGGGGGGGGGGGAGTGTCTAGGACTTGAATTTGGTACATGAGTTGCTGTCGGAACTAAAAGTGTTGCAAATGCTTCATGAATTTGGCCCAAAACATTAAGAAGAGGGATTAATGCCAGAAAAGTGGCAGAGCAGTTTTATTGCATTATCTCCACCACTGACTCATGTGTAATAAACCATGGGGAAGCAGTTTGGCATCATCACCCTGGGCACTAGATAACCTTGTCCTGACACTGGATATACACAGGTTCTGTTTCAAACCCAAAATAAGATAGATACATTTCTTACATTAGTAGGTAATGGGAAAAATAAGTGATATATACTACTGTGGACAATAATGCCCTAAAAACATTCATTGTTACCTTAAATACAACAAATAAAGGGTCATATTTCAAACACATTGTTACAGTTTATTGTCTAAGGCTTAGTCTCTGGAGTAGATATGAGCGAATTATTCAAAAATTCGATTCGGCCGATTCGCCGAATTTTAGGAAGAAATTCGATTCGATGCAAATTTATTCGCTACGAAGTTAACTTATAAAAAGGGTTTCTAGGCTTCAGAGAGCCTTTAAATTAGTGCAGAACACTGTACCTTTAATTTAAATGCCCTTGGAGATGAGGAAGGAGAAGGAGAAGGATGAGAAGAAGGAGAAGGAGAAGGATGAGAAGAAGGAGAAGGATGAGAAGAAGGAGAAGGAGAAGGATGAGAAGAAGGAGAAGGATGAGAAGAAGGAGAAGGATGAGAAGGAGAAGGAGAAGGATGAGAAGAAGGAGAAGGATGAGAAGAAGGATGAGAAGAAGGAGAAGGATGAGAAGAAGGATGAGAAGAAGGAGAAGGATGAGAAGAAGGAGAAGGATGAGAAGAAGGATGAGAAGAAGGAGAAGGATGAGAAGAAGGAGAAGGAGAGAGAAGAAGGAGAAGGATGAGATGAAGGAAGAAGGAGAAGGATGAGAAGAAGGAGAAGGATGAGAAGAAGGAGAAGGATGAGAAGAAGGAGAAGGAGAAGGATGAGAAGAAGGAGAAGGATGAGAAGAAGGAGAAGGATGAGAAGAAGGAGAGAAGAAGGATGAGAAGAAGGAGAAGGATGAGAAGAAGGATGAGAAGAAGGAGAAGGATGAGAAGAAGGATGAAGAAGATGAGAAGAAGGAGAAGGATGAGAAGAAGATGAGAAGAAGAAGAAGGATGAGAAGAAGAAGAAGGAGAAGGATGAGAAGAAGAAGAAGGATGAGAAGAAGAAGAAAGATGATTCCAAGCCGGCAAAAAGTGTATCTGCAGAGCTCCGCTATTTCTTAGATACACTTAGCGGAGCTCTGCAGATACACTTTTTGCCGGCTTGGAATTCTTCTTATTTTCATCCTACTTCTTCTTCTTCATCCTCATCCTCTTCTTCTTCTTCTGAGGATGAGGATGAGGATGAAGAAGAAGAAGAAGAAGAAGTAGGATGAAAATAAGAAGAATTCCAAGCCGGCAAAAAGTGTATCTGCAGAGCTCCGCTAAGTGTATCTGCAGAGCTCCGCTATTTCTGACAGTTCTGTGACACATTCCCTCCCTACAGCGGTTGAAACATTGTATCTATTTGTTTCCATAAATGGTTCCATTTATGGAAACAAATAGATACAATGTTTCAACCGCTGTATGGAGTGAATGTCACAGAACTGTCAGAAATAGGCTATTTCTGACAGTTCTGACATTCACTCCATACAGCGGTTTCAACAACATTCACTCCATACAGCAGTTGAAACATTGTATCTATTTGTTTCCATAAATGGAAACAAATAGATACAATGTTTCAACCGCTGTATGGAGTGAATGTCACAGAACTGTCAGAAATAGCGGAGCTCTGCAGATACACTTAGCGGAGCTCTGCAGATACACTTTTTGCGGGCTTGGAATTATTCTTATTTTTCATCCTACTTATTCTTCTTCTTCTTCTTCTTCTTCATCATCCTCATCCTCATCCTCTTCTTCTTCTTCATGAGGATGAAGAAAGAAGAAGAAGAAGTAGGATGAAAATAAGATTAATTCCAAGCCGGCAAAAAGTGTATCTGCAGAGCTCCTCTAAGTGTATCTGCAGAATAGAGGAGCTCTGCAGATACACTTTTTGCCGGCTTGGAATTATTCTTATTTTCATCCTACTTCTTCTTCTTCTTCATCCTCATCCTCAGAAGAAGAAGAAGAGGATGAGGATGAGGATGAAGAGGAAGAAGAAGAAGAAGAAGAAGTAGGATGAAAATAAGAATAATTCCAAACCGGCAAAAAGTGTATCTGCAGAGTTCCTCTATTTCTGACAGTTCTCTGACAGCTCCTTCACATGTACAGCGGTTGAAACATCTGTTTCCGAATAAAAACATCCTAAATGGAAACAAATAGATACAATGTTTCAACCGCTGTACATGTGAAGGAACTGTCAGAGAACTGTCAGAAATAGCGGAGCTCTCTGCAGGGACACTTTTGCCGGCTGATCGGGAAAAATCCGATTCGCGCACCCGAAGTAGGCAAATATTCGGATTCGACGCGAATCGAAGGGAAGTAGGGAATTAAGAATTACATCATTGTCGAAATAGGGCCATAGTCATATTTCAGCAATGATGCCACCACTATCCTCTCCCTTTCCTTTATATAACTGATGACAGCTCTGGTGAGTTTCAGTGAGTTGGCTGATGGCAGGCATCATGATAAATGATGGATTTCCAATGAGAGTCTTTTTTTAGATTTTATTTATTTATTTTAAAAAGGACTTATCAAGTGTTTGAGTGTCCTTATTACTAGTGTACAACTTTTTTTGTGAATTCACATATAGGCGAGGGACATGGGCCCCCCTTATTAATAAAGGGGGCTTCCAGATGCTGTAAAGGGTCCCCCTAAGGTCCATACCAGACTCAAAGGGTCTTGTATATATTTTGAAAGGGACACTTTTTTTTAAATTTTGGTTGTGGGACATTTACAAATAAAAAAACAACAGTTTAAATTGATGTCAAATAAAAATTAACTGACGGCTTCTTGAAAAAAAAAAACACAGCAAACAGACCCCTTCAAAGGTCCACCACAATACATCAATACATAATAGACCCTTAGGTGTCACCTATATATTTTGTGGGACCTTTGGGGGTATTTGTACTGCTTTTCTTTTAAAAAAAGAAGCCAGAAGGGAGATGTAATTTGCCTGCAATTTAAAACTGTTTTTGCCTTTGTACATATCAGTGCTAAGAAAATCACTGTTCCCAGCCAAATGGAATATTTATTTATTTGCTTTGGCACATGTTACCCAGGGCAGTGCTCCACAAGTAGATGTCCCCCAGTACAGTGCCCACCATGCTGTTTTTTTTACACCCTTTGCCTAATTGCCCAGAAAATAGGCTTTTCTTTTTTTACAGTCAGCTCTCATTGATTTCAGTTTTGGGTTTGACATTTGAAATTCTTTGATGTTTGCTGAATCCAGGGAAGTTTGGTCCATCAATAATAAATATATATAAACATACTGTATATATACTGTAGTATATCAGGCAATTATGGACAACTATAGACACCTTAGCCAGTGAACAGACATTTCCAACATTTGTAAGACAGACAAATGTAATCATTACAATGCAAATGTATTGTGATCATGTTTATGTTCCTATATTTTGCCTCTATCCCTCTTCATCAACACACTAATGATATCTTAATACAGAACCTTTCCATTTTCTTTAAACACCTTATGTTAGATCCAGTGATAATATTTCTGGGTCACTGTTCTTTTCTATATATTTTTGGGGGCAGGAGGTGCCTTATATAAGGAGGCACCATGTGCTTGTACCTCTATGCTTGTGATAACATTACCTTCTGACCAAGTGTACCTGATTAGGCGATTATGTTTTTTTCATTAGTGTAATAAATTTAATCAGATTTGTTATACAGATAGTGAATAATGGAAATGCTTAGAAATTCATATACAATGCATACGAGGATAAACTAACTGTTCTAATGCATTTTATCTACTTGCCTAAGCTTTACAGTATTAGGGAAACAATACTGTTGTTATAACAACAATGTAGAGGGAAAGCTCTGAAGAAAATATAAAGCAATTGTTTCCTACTGTGATTTGACATTGTGTGATAAATAAAATATGAAGGTATGCACAGATTTTTTTTTATATTGCATGTTGGAAAAATCAATATAACTTCCTCCATCAAAAATAATTAATAAGTTAGTTCAAAGTGTAGTAATGAAGTTCAAAGTCCACTACCCCTTAGCAATAGGATTTCACCATTGTTCAGTTTAAGGACACCAGTGCAAAGAAAATATGTGGCAAAACAATACTTTAAAAATCAGTTAGTGATAGTACTATACAGTTTAATGCTATATTAGAATTAGATCACCTTGATCCATTTG